TTAGATCCGATAATTACCTACGACGAATTAGAAACATCAATAAATAAAATGAAAACAAAATCTGCACCAGGTATGGATCTAATTACAGCTAAATTCTTAAAATTATTACCACCATCAGGAAAACAGGTATTGCTTGAATTAATTAATTCATTCTACAATTCAGCAAACTTTCCGGAAAATTGGAATACAGTAAAACTGATAATGATATATAAAAAAACAGACAGAAAAGATCCAGGAAATTACAGACCAATTGCATTACTACCAACTTTATGAAAATGTTTTACTTCTATTCTGGCACTACGATTCCAACAATGGACTGAAGAACTTAATTTAAACTCAAAATTTCAATTCGCATTTATAAAAACTTTTTCAGAAATTTAACAGACTGTGTGGCACAAAATCTGGATCTGGATCAACAGTCAATGAAACTGTACCAACAATAAGTTTGTTCAAATCTAAATATAAAATATAAAAAATTTTGTATTTTATATCACATACACTAACCTAATCAATAACAATTCAAACTATTAATCAAAAAATGATTCATATATCCAATTTGATAAGGAATAGGCTGTTTGAACTTTCTAATTTTATGATTGAAAAGTTAAACAAAAGATTAAATATTAAAAACAACACATTTATATTTATTTATAATCATTCATATCCAGCCCAATGTTACTCTGGAAACATGCTCTCTGCCTCAAATTAGTTGTAAATTGCCCCTGTACATAATACTTTTCCTTTAACAATAGAGTTGTGCTGGTCATCAAGTAACTGGGGAGGAAGTTTTTCTTTCCAAAAAATAGTGATATAAATATAGAAAAAACCCAACGAAAGGCGATTATACGGAAAATACATTTTTGTGACATAATTAAATATTAACACTGTGTGCAAAACTAAAATTTACATACAAATTTCTTTAACACTATTTACATACTATCAATTCATAATTTTAATGCAGAGAGAGATAAAAAAATAACAACGAAATTCGACTCGTTCGTATGTATTAATATAAAATAAAAATATATTCAATTATAATATATATTTAATATTTTAATATACAAACTAAAGATAAAACTAGCAAAAACATGATGAATCAACTAGATGTTGATTAAAAACAATATATATGCTTACCTTTTATCAAAGAAAAGCACAAGTAAGCAAAAGCACAAGCAAGTACAAGAACCAACACAGAATTTTGCATACAGCAAAAGACCCTTTTAAAAATCGAGCAATCCATTTTATACGAAGTCCAACGCCTCCTGGAGAAAAACAACAAAATGGTAATCGTTTTATTTTATTTTCAAAAACTGCTCTCTCTGTCAGTTGATGGCCAAATAGCTAACAATAAAACAATTTAACTTTTAAGAGATGATGAAAATACTTTTCAGATGAAAATATTTAATGTATTAATTACACCTTTATTTTTCTACCGTTGTCTGATAAGGGCGCTCGATTTATTTTATGATCTAGAAAAGTTTCACATTACTTACCTAGGTAAACTGTTTAAAATCGAAAGATCAGTCCCAGGATATTCCATAAGAGCAGAGACTAACAGATATCAACTATTTCCTTTCTTTCTGAAGAGACTGATCAAATTCTATTACAGATTAATAAGTACCAGTGATGACAATATAAAATTTATACATCAAATTATGTGTTCTCAAATCAACGATTTAAGTTCAATACAAGCGCCTTCTCTTTACGTCTTACTCCCATGAAGGTCCAGTCAAGAATAACCCGTTCTCCCATTGTCTTATGTTCTTGGAACTGGTGGTCTCACGCAAAGGGAAGAAAGGAAATGAAAAGAAAGTTCTAGAAAGACAAAGAACAAACAGAACAAACGGGAACAGAACACGGGGAAATAAATGTATAAATATTGGTTTCTTTAATCTTGGTATAAATTTTGGTGGGTAGGGTTAAGTAGTAATAAGGTGATCGGGTTTTATTTTTTTCGCAGACGATCTATCGTTGCATTTTCGGCTGATTAATATTTATCTCGATGATCCGAAACAACACCGTTGTTGCATGACATTTTCTATTTCATTTCATTTCTATTTCGTGACATTTTTGATCTAGAACAGTGCATATACTGTACAGTGTACACCTTTTTTCCTCTCCTTTGTCTGCTTTCTATACAATTTTCTTTAAATTTCAAAATCTCATTCCTAACAGTATTACAGTAATACCCCGACTTATGCGAACCCGGAGTTACGCGATTTTCAAATCTCGTCGATTCGTCTTTTGTTTGAGCGCCATGCAACCCTTGATTACTCACTCCCCCCACACTATTGTTCAGCTTACATGTTCGGATGTGTCGCACGGAATCCACACATAGCTACAATTTATTTTGTGTTATTTATTTCTGTGTTTGTGATATCTACGGAGACTCGAGAGACTCTACTAAGTTATCCAAACGAAGTAGAACTAATTCTTCTGCATCAAACAAGAAAAGAAAAACTTTATCTTTGGAATGTAAAGTTAACATTGGGTATGTTCGTAAAGTCGAACGAGTTAAACGAGAATGACGTCATCGTTATTCCTATTTCGTTAGACTTTTCGAACGATTCGTTACTAACGCGTTTAACTCGTTTGACTTTACGAACGTACCCATTATTAAAGACTTCGATACAAAAATGAAAATTTGTGAATTGGCAAAGAAGTTTGATCTACCGGAATTGTCGGTCAGAACAATTATAAAAGGCAAAGAAAAAATTCTCGAAGCTGTGAAAAATGCTCAATCTTTAAATTCAAGCATCATTCGTAAACGTCACAGTATTATCGCTGAGATGGAAACAATGTTAAAATTATGGCGTAATAATCAAGTAAATGTGAAAAATTGTAAAATAATATAGGCCTAATTTGTTATACATATGTATTATCTAAGATTTTATTAAACATTTTCTTCTAAATTATTGTTTTCTTTAGTCTCCGGCCCCAATTAAAAATTATTTGTATGTATTTATATGCAAAATTATACCCCGACTTACGCGAATTTGACTTACGCGGTTACCACTCGGTCCCACCTATCGCGTAAGTTCAGGGTATTACTTTATATCCACAAGTTCCAGAATGAACCATTTTAGAGGGATCTAACAGTCACTAATAACAGTCTTAGGGTGCGACTATGCAGATGCGAGCGAGCGAATTTTCCGAGTGAGCGAGAATATGTGGCAAGACGCGATAAATATCAAAACCTGTCAGATATGTGCGAGAACCAGAAATTCACTCTCGCCAGCGTTATTTCTCGCTTTTCGTTTGTGCATGGTTTTCCTTTGTGAAAATTAAATCGCTCGCAACCTCTCACTCACTCTAAATTCGCGTCTGCATAGTCGCACTCTTACTTCCTAACCAGTGGCATACCGTGTCAGCCGCCCGGGCGGAGGAAAATTTCGCCCCCCCTTTGAAGGACTATCATTGTCTTCAATAAATGAGATTCAGTTAGAAAAAAATATATTAATAGGATAATAAATGTTTTAATGGAGCATAAAAAAAAATAATTTTCTTCAGCTAAACCTTACTATTTCTTAGACAATGGAGCTAATTTGTTTATTTTAGAACTACTGTAATCTATATCTACATCTATATATATAGTATATAAATGGATGTGTGTGTCCCTATATTTCACTTTTCCGCCAAAACTACACATCGCACATGAATGGTGTTTGTATGTGGTAGTAGCCCCAAGTCTCCATTCGTGCACCATGACCAGGGGGGTTGCGTCTCGATAGCTATAAGGGTGCGGGAGATATGAGGCTAAAAGTGGTTGAAAGTGGCTTTCTATTTCGAATGTTTTGTTCGAATTTTTTCGAATTAAATTTGAATATAAGATTCGAATATTGGTTCGATTATGTATAGAACGATTGTAAACGTTCCAGAAACATTGAAAATACAGTTTAACCTGCTTATAACGTCATCCATGGGACCGGCAATTTTTTGACGTTATAACCGAGTGTCGTTATCTGCAGGGTCATAATTTCAGTCCCATAAAAGTATCAAGTCTGTTTAAGAATCTATTATAAAATTCATCTAATTTAATATCGTATGTATAAAAGTGCAAACTAAATATTTAAATCAACTTTATTTACATTATTATGTCTAAATTTACAACGATGTAATTAAAAATTTCAAAAATTATTTTTTATAAGAAATTTTTATTTGTCAAGTTTCGATAATGGCGGCACTTTCGGTTTTGAGAATAATGTCGAATCAAAAGGCAACAAAAAGTTAAATTAAGCAAGAAATGAGAAAATTATCATCCAGGTGTTATTAATGCCTGGATGATAATTTTCTCGTTTCTTGCTTATCTATCAATAGACATGAAGTCCAATATCTTTCACTTTTAGGTTAAATTAATGTATATCAATTAAAAAGAAACAATAAAAATATTCACTTAAAAAAAGTCAGTTATTTTAGATTGTAGGCATTTTTCACCTAAAAATTGTTTATCAATGTCATTTTCTAAGTCGTAGATTTTGTTCATTATTTCCGATGAAGTTTTACGAGACCTGTAGAATTTGCTAAACCAAAGTCTCTGCATACATCTGCCTTTTTTCTTCCACTTTCAACTGCTTTAATTATTTCTACTTTGCAGTCTAATGTTAACGCTTTCCTTTTTAAGCTAGCCATTTTACCTGATTTGATGCTAAACTACAACACGAGTATGAGAGCTATGCAGACTAACCCACTGTCACGTCGTTTAAAGGGGTGGCGCATCTCACCCCATTGAATCAGGTGGTGACAGTACCACCCACAATCGTTCTAGGAAGCGGACTCTGACCCTAGGACTGAACACGTAGTATTTTCTTTGATAAATAAAATTTATAATTTAATTTTGTAAATTTAAAAGTGCTTCAAATATGACGTTAAAACAGGGTTTTATGTTGTTACAAGTGGGTTTTTTTTAACATTATCTAGTATAGTAAAATCGTGGGACCGATAAAAATTTGACGATATATTAGGGTTGTCGTTACATCCTATGTTGTTATAATCAGGTTAAACTTTACTTGCATATTATTGATAGAGTGAAAAAATAATTAAAATTGCCTATTTACCTAAAGAAAATGTTAACTATAACTAAAATTCTGATTTTTGTAACTGAAACTTTTTAACAGTATTTTAACTTATATGTTTTTCAATGTGCTAATTTAGATAGCATTAAATAATTGATTACAATATTCACAAAAAGTCATGAATGATGATCTTGAATTGTAGACTGTATAATTCTCAATACTATTGTTTATTCTTTTTCTCTTATCTATGGAATAAGACATGACACTAGGAAGCAATTCTTTAAGAGCTGTCTCCTTGTGTCATATATTTTCCATAGAAATGGGAAATGGCTAAACAGTATTGTCAAGAATTGCACTGTTTACAATACATTGATAACAATATCAGTAATTATAAGCATGTGTGTGCGTGTATATATGCTAAAAATAATTAAATTTTAATTTTTAAAAGTTTTTTTATAATGTTACTTTTTTAAAGTATTGAATTACATTACTAATATATTAAAGAACAAAAGAAATATTTAATTTTTATTTTAATAATTTAGGTGTGTTTCAAAGATGTTGTATTCCCATTATTACCTCGAATGATCTTTGGAATGTATTATAACATGTCTTTGGTATGAATATATTTTTGATATAATCAATTTTTTATATTCTAAAAATTTATGTATAAAAGTAAAATAGATGATATATGTAACTTCAGTATACTAAACTCATTACATATAAATTAAAATAAAATATTTATTATTAATAACTTTTACTTTCTACATATTCTTTGAGTTAATTAGAAAATATAATGAATTTTATAGATACCAGGCTGTTACAAAAGTGGTTTATTCCATGCTTTTTCTAAACATGTTTTACATAAATTAAATATTAAGCAAGATGAATATTCTGTGAGTATATTAACACTTTCATTTAAAAAATTATAAATAAATAAAATAACTTAAAGAAATATATTTTAAATTAGGGAAAGAAAATTATAATTACGTTATTGTCAAGAGCAACGACTTTCAGACAGATATTGAATGAAAATGAAGTAAGTTTATTTAATTTTTAACAATAATAACTGTTCTTATAAACTTGTTTTTTATTTAGCTCAATTGGGATTAACATGCATTCAAAGTCCTTTGAGATTAAGAAATGAATATACATAGCTTGAATTAATTACTTATAATGAATGACTTTTCAATTAATTTAATAATATTTCATTNAAAACATTGTTTAATTTATATTAATATGTATCACTTAAAAAATTTTAATGAAGATATTTATCTTAATTATGAAAATATACTAGCATGATTTTTAATTTTTGGAACCTAACCCTCCTTTTCGTATTAGTTCTTTGTTTCGTATAACACGGATTTGCATAACACGGCAATTTTTTGGAACGTAACTACCGTGTTATATGGGGGTTACCTGTATAGAACATAAAATGCGTTCGAAATAAATCGATCCCAAGCATATCAAATTGGCGGTTTTCAGATCATGGATTAATCGTGCTTATACGCATTGTACAAGTTTCTGCGACACGCTAAAGGAGCTAAGGTACGTTCTTAAAATAGCCCAACTAAACGGATATCCAAAGGAAGAGATAGAGGATCTTATTTCATCCTTCCAATCCACTACACGGCATTCTCCCAGGATTAACCCTAATAAACGAATAGTGCTTAATTACGTTCCATTTTTGAACAGGATACACAGATCTACTGCCAAGTCGAATAACTTACACATTGTATACAGGTGCAATCCCACTATTTTCAAACTATTGAGAAACGACAAAAAGAAAGAGGATCGGAATTCAACAACGGGTATATATTCAGTGCCTTTACATGATCAACGGTTCGATTCCAGGCTAGTTTACATGGGTGCGACGATGCGCAGTCTAAAGAAAAGGCTCAAGGAACATAAGTACACTATCGATAAGAACCTTGATAACACTGTGTTAGCATCGTACGCAAAACAACAAGATATAAATGTGCTATGGGATCAGGCATCAATTATAAAAACGACAACTAATTGGCAAATGATCAAACATCTAAAGAAATTGGAAATCTATAAAGCGCACATGAAAACCGGTTGTATAAACCATAGGGACGCCAACTCATTGTCCACTGCGTCGAGATCCTTTTACAATTATTAATTTTTCACTATTTATTTGTTAATTTTTCATTAGTTCGTTCACTAGGGCGTTTTCCGTTAATTTTTATTTTTGTATTTATTTCGAACGCATTTTATGTTCTATATTTAATGTTCTATTTTTAGTAACTGAAGATGATCGTTGAAAAACGATTGAAAACGTTTTTATTTTATTAAATTTTGCTGGATTTATATCGGTGTAGTTTATTTTTCAACTTATTCTACTTCCAGTACGTATTGATTATATATTATTAAATTTATTGAATTATTAAATTTTTTTTTTTTTTTTACTGGATTAAAGTGTTTTTGACTTAATTATAGTAGTTATTTATCATGAGATCTGGCAATATTGATCTTAAGTAAGGTTAAGTTCAATATCTAAGATTCTAACGCAGAAATCTTTTCAATAATAAATAGTAGGTATTTGCAGAAAAAAAAAACAAATTTTGAAAAATTGTATTGTATGTATTAGCAAGAAATTTAATGAAAATTGAGGTAGAGCAAGGCCTCAAGAAATAGGTAAACTCTACTGTATGACTATGCTCCAAAGGTTTGAGAAAGGACAGAATTTAAAGATGCTCTTTTTTAAAAAGTTTTGTGTGTAACATGTTTTGGCCTTTTTGGAATGTTTCTTTTGTATAACNAAAAGTAATTTTGAAAAAAATTATCGTAATACAGGCTACATTGCCAATGCTAGTGAACATTACTTAAAGTAATAAATGCTAATTGATCAATTAGCATTTATTGACCATTTATGAATTAATTAAATTAAGTTTTTTATAAAAATATTTTGCTTAAGGTGGATTTTAATCTCTTTGGTTAAGCATGCAGTCTCCAGCAGATAATACAGTAATATTTCGACTTACGCTACCCTGACTTACGCGAACCCGGAGTTACGTGATTTTCAAATCTCGTCGATTCGTCTTTTGTTTGAGCGCCACACAACTCTCGATTACTCACTCCCCCCACACTATTGTTCATCTTACATGTTCGGATGTGTAGCGTGGAATCGACACATAGCTACAATTTATTTTGTGTTATTTATTTCTGTGTTTGTTATATCTACGGAGACTTGCGAGACTCTATGTGGTGATTTCTTGTAACCGTGAACGAATCAAAAGACGAGATAAGATTAATGAGAACAATAAATGTTCTCGTTAATCTTATCTCGTGTTTTGATCCAAGTTTTTTGATTAAAATCCAAGTTGGATGTATGTAAGCTAATAAATAGCTTACATACATCCGACTTGGATTTTACACAAATTGCAAAATTATACCCCGACTTACACGAATTCGACTTATGCGGTTATCTCTCGGTCCCACCTATTGCATAAGTTCGGGGTATTACTGTATAAAAAATTTAATGCTTTTCCAAAGATTCTTGAAAACAGAAGTAGATAGAACCAAACAATTTTTTGCATTAATACCCTATTTAATTCTTTTATTAACATACAGTTCAGAATTTTGAAAACTGAATTATTTAATTTTCTACAAATTTTTAATATCACAGAAAAAAATTAACTCACCACCACAGCACTTTTGGCTGTAAACTGTAAACAACTAACATTTTATTTGTACAGGATAGATTCTATATGGAGACCTTAGTGTGTCAGGGATATTACTTGATGTGAATCCAGTTTTAAAGGCATAAAACCTGAATGCAATGAACATTGGGTTCAACAGCCAATTGCAATTGTTTCCCGTGATGTTTCTCATATACATCGTACAGTAGACTCCTCCTATAAAACGGATTCATATAATATGGATTCGTATAAAATGGCAAAAAAATTGCGATTGTATTCTTATAAACACGCTAAAAGAGACTTGTATAATATGGTAAAACGTCATCACCAACTCGTGTCACGACAGGATTGGTCGAATCTAGACCAATAACAGATATTGCACAAACCATTGAGTTTAAACAAGCAGTGGACCTACTAAAAGCCATTTATTATTTAATGGCCATAAAAATTATATTTATATTAATGATGTCTCCAAAGTTCAGCGAATTTTTCGCAGAAAAATTACTTATCAGGAAACACATGTCTGCCATTTGATGCACCACTCCACAACGAAAACAAGCTTAAGCAATGGCATCGTCGAATGGTGCACACTCGATAGGTAATCCTACAATTTTTTGTTTACAGCATGGTTTATATGGATTATTCCCAAAAAATTATACGTGTTTTGGAAATGTTGATTCAAATCAGTCTAGAATCAATTAATTTTATGGAAGAAAACCTTTCAAACAGCCATAATCTGTAAACTTCATATGTGCCGGGCTGTGATTGGCTCATGTATTTAAGTGACTCGTACAACACGGAATTCATAAAACACAGAATGTATCTACCATGTTATTGGGGGGTCTACTGTACTTACATACAGTATGATGCTGTCTTTCAAGGCTGCCAAATTTGCAACATGTCTTCAATAAACTATTTTAAGTGTCTCCATAACCAAAAATCACATGGATTAAGATCTGGAGAACAAGAAAGCCAAGCAGCAGGAAATGCCTGACTAATTACTTTTATTGGTGAAATATTGTAACAGAAACTGCAGTATACAGTGTATGATGTATGGAGGTACTCCATCATGCATGAAAGTGGTTGAATCAAGACATTATTGCTGTTGCAGTTGGAGTACAACAAAGATGTTGAGAATTTCTTATCTCTAAGCCATCACAGAGCATGTCATGGTCTCATTAGGACTAGCTTCAAATAAAAATGATCCAAGAATAAATATGGCAGGGAATCCACTAGTCTGTTACTTTAGGCAAGTGCAATGGAGTCTGTTAGAAAACATGAGACTTTTTCTTAGCCAAAATGGGACAGCTATGGTTGTTAATTGAGATGAAAATGTGAAAATGTGCCTTGTTGCTCCACAGGATCATCCAGGGCCACAATACAACCACTTACAGTACATTCTGCCAAGGAAGGTCAATGAAAGGTTGGTTGAGTTTCTCTGTTGGTCCAAGTAAATGTTGGTTATTATCTTATATGAATGGATAACAATGTGCCAATTTTTTCACTACACCTGACTGCGGTGACACTGAACATGCACCACTGGGTTCTGTAACATTATTCATTGACTGTTTATAACAACTATGGTAACATCTTCAACGACTTGTGAAGTGATAGGTTTGTGCTTTCCACCAGGTCCTATGCATCAAGTTTTCCCAAATTGAGTGATCCTTCTCTGAAGAGCTTAGAGTCAAGAACCAGTGTTCCTGGCATAAATTCTTAGGACAGTAAAATTCCTCAAATGCTGCTCTTCATCATTGCCATTGTTTTCATAAAACAGCTTTACAAGAAATGCACATTTTGGCAAAGTGATAGTATTGCAATTGTTAAGAATGACATTCAATATTTATGGCTACTTTTATATCCAAAAGTTGGCTGTAGTACTTGTACTTATACTACACTATATGAACACACCTGAATTCTACTTATACTTATTTAAAAGAAACTGCTTTTTCATTGCTTGCAGTACCAAAATTGATGAGTTTTGGAATTTTTTTGTTATGGAAATGTCAACTTGAGATGTCACCATACAGATTTGGTTGCATTTTTGTTAAATATGTCTTTCAACAACATTGAATAAGAATAATTTAATTATGATCATCCAGTATATCTGACCTAATAGAGAGAAGTGCCATATCATATAGTTTCTACTGTCTCTTCTAATTTTTTATTTTTGCATTTAATTGATTTGGTAAACAGTTTTTATTAAACTGAATCTATTATGAGTGTAAATAGAAAGAGAAAGGTTTTCAGAGCTGAAATATATTGATCATAGATGTTTGTTTAAAAAAAATTTTTTCTCAAATAACTTGAAATACATTGTATATATTTTTTATGTATAAAAAATCTACAGATAGTTAACTTAATTTTTATTTAATTGTAGAATGAGACTTTTTTCCAATAAATTTCTTTGTTTGAAAATTTTTCCTATTTTGTTTATATTTAGTATTATTAACTCTTCAATGCTTGCCA